TAGCACTTTTGAAGAAAATCGTTTCTCCTGTTCCAGCTAATAAATTTTACATAATAAAACCCAGTTGAAAACAATTGTAAGGGTCTCCCAAAAAAAATAAAAAATTTGAAATGTTATAAAAAATTTTCACTAATATTAATTATTATTTTTTTTTGCTTTTATAAAAATTTCGGATATGCAGTTTTATAGATTATCAAGTTTTAGTATAAAAAGTGCAAGTTGCAAGTGGTTTTTAATAATATGACAAACCCAATTTAGCAGGCAGATGTGCTCGAAATATTAGCGAAATATTAAAAATCAACGTGACCTCTTAGCCACTTTCAAAATTGCACCTTATTATTTAATGATCTATAAAACTGCTTACCCAACATTTTTCTAGAAACTCAAACATTTTATTTTTTAATTTGTTGAAAATTTTTTTATAACATTTCCAGATTTTCTTTTGACATTTTTTTCGCTTTGGGGAACTCACAAATTTTTTTTCAATTAGTTTCTTATGCAATATTTATTAACTGCAACAGAAGAATCAATTTTCTTCAAAATTGCCACTTTTTCTGCACTTTGCAATAAAAAATGTAATAAAAAGAAAAAAAAAAGAAAAAATCGGCTTAATTGGTCTCTTGAAAATTTTATTAGCTTTGATTAAAAAAAAAAATAATAATCGAATTGAGAGAAAAATGAAGGCTCCAGTGAATTGTGAACACCAAATGCCAGTTTTGAACCAGTATGCACTGTGCGTTGTTGTTTTTACTGCTGCTGCTTCCGCTGTTGCTGTTGCCAACATTCATTAAATAGTTACTACTATTCCACCATCAACAACAACAACAACAACAACAACAACCCAAATCACTGCTCATCACCTCATTTCAAATGCTTTTCTTCACGTCACTGCAATCAGTCAGCGAGTCAAGCAGTCAAGCAGCAGTATTACTACTTGCTCGACAACATTTTATTCCATTTTTAGTCACTTTCCTTTGCCCATTCAATTTACATTTAGCGCTCAGCGTTCAAACTACATAACTACATGCATATGATGTTGTTGGTGGCGGCCGCGCCATATGCTTTGGCAGTGGAGGCGCTTAGAGCTTTCATTTATGTTCAACACTTTCTTTGCTAATACTTTATCAGTAGATGTAAGAAAACGTTAACGGCGACTCCTCTACCCACCGCCAACTACGAACGATAGAAAAGCAGCACTCGCCAGTTGTTGATGGACGACAGTTGAGCGTTTGCTGAACAGTTCTACTTCTGCTTCACTTTGTGTCATATTTGCTTAGGAAATGTTTCATATTTTCTAAAGACTAAATTGCCGAGGGAGTATGGCGATCTTTGTGCTGTGTTGCTACTATTTGCTAAGGCCATTGTTGAGTGAGTAGGCTACGTCGGCCACAAGTGAGTTGGAATTGAGGAAGACGTGGATATTACGGACGAGGCTACGCTGCTGCAGGGAAGAAGTTCGTTTTATAAGTTTAATGAGAAAGGACAGCATCAGCAACGCACGCACACAAATCAAAATGACCCCCACCCACAAATTCGCAATCATCGCAAACTCCTTCAAACGTTTTCCAGCTGCGAGCTACTGCTATGCCCATACCATTTTGAAAATCACTTTAAATTATCAGCAGCAAAGTGAATTGAAATTGATTTTTATCGCTACTTTGTCGCTTGAAGCTTTGCACTTTCCTTTTTCGTGTGTGCTTCGTGTCACCTCATCACGCAAAAAAAAACTCATATTTGGTTAGATAAATATTTGTCAACAACACGCTCAACGGGTGGTATGAGTAATATGCAGAGGCATACGAGTCTAGGTGGTTGTATGAATGTATGATTGTATTAATGTGTGTATGGTTACTTGGTATGAGGTGTGCTATGTTGCGCGAAAATTCGTTAAATTGCTAGCAAATCTAATCAGTGCGAATTTTTCTTGTTTGCTTGCAGGGGTTGTTGTGGTATCAAATAAAAATTAGGAATAAATGGATAAAATTTCTGTGAACATTGGGATAAAGGGCAGAGATACATACATATTAAATAGTACTTCAATGCAAAATTATTAGAGTAGAAATCTCCTTGTAGCGGTTAAAAAAATATCTGTTGAGCCTTAATATTTTTTCCTAAAGACAGGGTCTGTGGCGGACCTGAAATAAAAAACGGCCGTTGAAGAATTTAATGAAGGATTAAGATCCACATCGAGATTGAGATTAATATTTATCATTTTTATTTTTTTTTAAAGAGTTGCCACTTGTTAAAAACTTAAATACTACGTTTAATAAGATAAATCAATTATTGCCATATGTGTATCGATCGAAATGTTTTTGAAAATGCTCTATTTCTTAACTACATGTAGGAGGATTTTTGAGGGATCTAAAAGGGTTGCCACCTTTTTAAAAAGCTTAATTTATCTGTTGATTGAAATTTGTATTCTTATGTCAGATGAAAGAGATTTAAGTTGAAAAATACTTTTGGAAAAAGTTGCCACCTTTTTGAAAAGTCGAGTTGGGTCAATTCATACACAACATTTGATATATTTTAATTTGAATGTCAAGCGAAGGAGTGTTGTGAAAGCTTTAACTTTAAAATACATTTTTAGAGTTGCCACCTATTAGTACATGCACATATACATACATATATGTATGTAAAACGCGACGGAATTTTTTATGAAGGTTGTCAGATCTGCACCGTTCCTTCGAATTTAATTAACTAAGTTAAATTTGATTTTGAAAATAGGTGGTAACCCCCTTCATAAGTAATTTAGAAAAAAGCTTACTTAAACCCGTCTCCAATATTACAAAACTTCATTTAGCTATTATGATAAATTAAATTGATTCTGAATTTCTAAATAGGTGGCAACATTCTTCAAAATTTTAAATAAATAAATTAAGTCTTATTAAAATCTGTTCAATAGACATCTATGTACATACATATGTACAGATATTAAAATGTTTCAATTATCTTATTAATTAATATAACTTTAATTTTTAAAAATAATTTTAAAAGTACCTCTCTCATTTGATACCCATATCACTAAATTCCATTATTTGTTAAAATCATCTTGGTCTCTTTTCCTAGTTTTTATTGATTAAATGGCCTCCAATAAAGTAGGTATTAGACGACTAACGTCGGACTTTGTTTATGGTTTTCGCGTACTTCTTCTCTAACTAGAAACCGCAGATCGAAAGCATAGACATAGACATAGACTGATCTTCAGACATTAAATTAAACCTAAGATATATGTATGTATATTATTTACCCATAGTGAGTTTTTAATTGTAAACATGAATAGACATCTTATGTAAAGAAGCATTCTCTTACATTAACTGCCGTGAACATGCTGCAGATCAGTTTATATTGATCACGCCTAAAATTATACAATACTTTCATACAACACGATCTACATATATAGATGCCCTTAGCATACCAGCTGGTAGACAGGTAAGAAAATAATAACCAAAATTACATATACAACCAAAATCTTACCAGCAAAGAGCACAAATAATAAGCAGATACAACAGCAACAACAGCAAAAAATATCGTTCTTCATTGAGTGCAGTGTGTCCAGATTGTTAAAAAAAAATCGCAATTTCTGAAAAAAACCCCGCCAAAAATCGCCAATTTTTTTCTAATAAAATTCATGAAATCTATTTAACAAATCTTTTATGTTAAAAATGAGATCTTGTTATAATATAGTTTTTAAAACCAAAAACGAATATAATACCTTCAGAGGGTAATAATAAATAACACAAATCACTTTTACAATAGAGATGTACCAACAATTTTTTTTTTAACGCATACTTTTAAAAAATATTTGTTTGAACACATTTTGCAATAATACTGCGCAAATATTAAACTTATTATAGCTCATATTAATTGATTAATCGCACAATCCGCTTTTAAGCGCTCGGCGCTAAAAACAAAATAAAAACCAATAATAAGGCGAGATCAGCTATTTCTACAATTTTCTCAAAATCACCTATAGTGCATGAATTATTTACATTTCTGTTGTTGTCATATATTGAGCTATTCAACGTTATGTTATCGTTTGATATTAGAAACGTTTTGCTGCAGAAACTATAAGCCTTCATATAACATTTTATTCTAACTATTGAATTAAGGCTTTCCAACCTTATCCTATTTCGAATCTTAGTTTTAGTTGAATTCGTTACGGAAAAAACGCGCTCAACAAAAGCATGTGAGTGCGGCAAGGATAAAAATATGAAGGCTACTTTACTTATATTTCCAAACATTGTATTGCCTGTTGCGGTTTTCACTCCGTAAGCAATTATCCAAAATTCTTCAGAGTCGGATGGAATGGTTCTGAAAAAAGTTATTCCATGGGAAAGTTAAAGATTTAAATATTCAGTTTCCGCTGCTTTTCTTTCCTTCAAAGTCAAATAGTGAATTGGCCGGTCCCTGAAACTCGCCCTCTTGTGGAAAAAATTTATTTGAATGGAAAAAATCGCCAATGGCGATTTCCTAAATTTTTACGCGCAAATATCCAAAACAATCGCCTAATTGGCGCGAAATCGTCAAATCTGGACACTCTGATTGAGTGCATGATTTTTTCGCTACCTGTGTATGGACCGGCGGCAACACCTGAGAGGCCGTGTTGGCGGAATGATCAACAGACAAAACGAGCCACAATTAGCGCAATGGGCCGCCAAATCGAAGGCAAAGACACTCAGTCGCAACGGATTCGCGAGAGTGAGCGCAACGTTAAAATCAAGTGAACGGATAAATGCGAAAGGCCAAAATACTGGAATACATAAAGGGCTAATCAGAATACATTTGCACTGTGTGTGTGTGTGTGTGTGTTGCGGTTTGTGGCAGGAAAAAGACAAAAACAATTTGCACTACTGTGTGCAGAAGGAATTTGTGAAAAGTGATTTTTTTTATATAAAATTTTATTATTTTTGCGAAAATTGGTGGAAATCTGTGGATTTTAGTGGCGAATAGTGTTTTCTTTTATTTCCAACTTATGATCTTGAATATTTTGAAGCATTCTTTTTGTATTCTCTTTGGCTACATCTCGAAGTGGCAGACACCGCTTAATTGACTGCTGTGTTTTTATTATCTTTGTTTTCTTCTTTGTGCTCTTGTGGTTGAGCGCAACGCAATGCCGAAACTACTGAAAACTGGTTTTTCAAAATTGTCTGCGCGCATGCGCGAGCGATTTGAAGGCATTTTGAAGACTGTGGTGGCGGCAGAGAAGTTTTGTTTACAATTTTGTTGTTGCGAAGGGTGAAGAGAGAAAAAGTAGAGGAAAAACTTACACTATTAACAAATAAGTTGTATAAAATGGAATGAAATCAAAGTAAAGTAAACAAATTAAAATTAAATTAAATCAAAATAAAAAAATAAAAACTATGCTTAGATAATTTAAACTCAAATATATTAAATTATGTAAATTAAACTAAATTGTAATTAAAAAAATTAGTTTAGTTACATATCGTCACCTGAAATGCAAAAAGACGCCACAACATTATCGCTGAAATGCAAGAAGTCATAACTAATAAAAAATTTAAAATTCACTTTTTGATTTTTGAGTTTTGGATTTCATCGAATTACAACTACCCACATCATTTTATAAAAAAAAAAAGAAAAATATTAGTCACGACTTTTCCCATTTCAGTTGCGATGTTGTTACGCCCTTTTGCATTTCAGGTGACGATAGGCATATGTATTACATTAGGTTATATTAAATTAAATTATGTAAATTAAATTACATACATACATACATCAAAATAAACTAAACTAAATTAGATCAAATCAAATAAAATTAATTAAATTAAACAATTCCATTCAATTAAACTTTAATTAAGATAAATTATGTATATACAAATTAAAACTAAATTAATATAAATATAAATAAATTTAACTCAAAAAATGAATTAAATAAAATTAAATTAAATTAAATTAAAATAAATGAAATTCCATTAAATTAAATTCATTTTAAACTAAATTAATTTAAATTAAATCCAATCATACTCAATTAAATTTAAATTAAATTTAAATAAATTATATTACTAAATCTAAACTTAGTTAGATAAAAATGAATTAAACTTTATATATTATATTAAATTATAATAAACTAAATTAAAGATAAAATTAAATTAAATTTAGCAAATTAAATTAATTTAAAATTACTTCAACTAAATGCAATTCAATTCCATTAAGATAAATTATATAAAAAAATTAAAACTAAATTATAAAAATAGAAAAATTTTATTAAAAAAAAATTAGTTAAACTTAATTAAAATAAAATAAATTAGATTTCTTTAAATTACATTAAATTAAATTCATTTTAATTTGAATTATATCAAATTAAAATAAATTAAATCCAACAAAATTAAATTAAATCCAAATATAACATAAATCATATTAAAATAAATCAATTGAATTAAATTAAATTCAAAACATTTTAAAATAAAAAAAATTTACAATAACAAGAACACATATATGTAATTGAAATAAATCAAGTTTTAGCTAAAAAAAAACAGAAAAACGATCATTAAATTCAGCACGTGTTTCCCACTACACACTAACATACAGCACACATACAAGCAAATGAAAGACTCAAGTGACAAACGTGATCGCGCAACACAAAAAAACTGACTGACTCCGCTGTCGGTGTTGACAAGTAATCAGACAAACGCATAAGAGAACCAAAACAAAAAAGCGAAATAAGCAACGAAAGATTTAAGCGACAAACGCGTGCAGGAAAGAAACTGTTAAAAAGCAGCAAACTTGTGCCCCGACAAGCGGACAAGGCATGCTGCCAGCAAGTTGCAACATTAATTAACAGGCATATATACTCATACATACATTTACAGCAACAACACCAGCAAAACAACTGAGACCACTTTGTGACTCAGTTTGCGACTCACTGCGGTGCTACTACAATGGGCACACGTGTTCCACCGCCTTGCCCCACAGCATTGCACTGCGATCAGGCCGCCATGGCGGGCCTGCCACAGCTCATCGCCGACTTGCAACGTCTATCGGAGGATCAGGAGAGCGCCGATTTGGTATTCATTTGTGGACGAGAAGAAGAACGCATTTATGCACATCGCATATTGCTGATGGCGCGGTAAGTAGGAGCAAAATAAGAGATACATATGTATGAATGTACAGATGCGATCAAACAAAAAAACACCAAAATTCAAAATGATATTGTTCGCATTGCATGTTTATTAATTTATTTTTAATAGTTTTCATTTAAAATATAAGTAAGTGGTTTAAACGCGTCAACACATATTTTTTTTATATGCAAGAAAATGCTCAACACTCTCAGCCAAAAAAATTCAAAAAAATCCATGGTAATCTTTAGCGACTTTAAACTGACACTTTATTACGCTTAAATTGAAATGTTTACAAAACTGCTTACTGCAAATTTTCGAAAAAATTCTAGATAAAAAGTTTGAAATATTGAGGAAATTTTTTTTGAAATTGGACTAATTTTTGTGAACTTTGCGCAAAGCTTGAAAGTTTTATTTATGTTATGTCATGTTAATTATAAAAAATATGTAAAGAAACACCATTCTTAATTTTGTTGCTATTTTTTTGACCGCAACTGTATATAAATACATACATGCATATGTGATTTAATTGCAATGGTGAGGAAAAGGGGGTAGTGCATTAAATACATAAATACTGCCTGCGGCTACTGTTGAAAAATGCTGTAATGCGATCTGTTGCATGTTTATGATTTTTACATTTTGTTTTTGCTACATTTGCCACGCGGTCTCATTTATTTATTTGTGGCAAGTTGCTCAGTTACACACTCAATTCGTGGTGTAATTTTTTAATTATTCGTCAACTGTAATGTTGTTGTAAAACATTTATTAATACATATCACTTATATAGGTTCTAGTCATTTGCTATTATTGCTGTTGTTGTTGTTGCTGGCTTTAGCCACATGTTTTATTCATTCGTTATTACGCTTGTTTTTAAATCGTTGACGGACAGTTGCATTGCTGCACTGAATGAATGGGCGTAGAAACGCAATTGACGACAACAATACTTGCTCGTTAGCGCTGGTGGCACATGCAACTTTGGGCATCGTAATTAATATTTTGCAACTTTTATTCGCTTTTTGCTCATAACTTAAAATAACTTAATTACACTTTTATATTCAATTAATTTTTAAATCTTTTTTACTTTTATGTGCAAATTTGTCGCCTCATTTCAAATGTACATATGTAATTGTGATAAGCGCCACTCGACGAGGTGTAAAAATTGCCAGCTAATTACGCTTGCAATAAAAAAAAGTAGCGAAAGCCATTTATGGTATTTTTATGATTGCATGGAATAATTACTTAAATACTTATGTATGTATGTATATTTTCTTCTCTGGCAGCTGTAAGAGCTTTAAAACGGCAAAGCGTGGTGAAATCTGCCGCATACCCGGCTGTTCGGTATCGCCTGCAGCGCCGGGTACGCCCACGCCAGTGCGCCTGCCGCACGTCAACCCGGACGTCTTTCGGCAATTCATTGTTTACGTTTACACAGCGAAGGTAAGTAAATCCGATTTTAGAGATTTTGGAGAGCTTGAAATAAATGCATTCATTACACTTCCTATTTCAGATTATGCTGCAAGATTCGCGTGTCTTTGAAATGATGACTCTCGCACAAGATATGGGCGTCGAAGAGCTGCGTGCGGCCTGTGAAGATCATGTGATCTCCACGTTGTCGGTGGACAATGCATGCACTTTTCTCACATCCGTCATGGAAATACACGAAAAAGCAGGTAGTACAACTATCTACTATTTCATATGTATTTATTTATTTGAAGTCAGATGCAACATTGATTTCTCACTGACTATAGAATAATTATACAGTAGGCTACGGCCTACTTCAGGCCACAAAGACGGGTCCAAGTTAGGAACGATATTTAATTCGGACAAGGCCCCAGAAATGGTAGAAAATTTGATGCAATTAAATTAAAACAAAGGGAGGTATCGGATATACCGCGCAGGAATAGAAAAGTTTAATTTCCCAGTTAGGGTAGGGCAGTCAACTGAATCATTTAGCAGATTAACTACAAAGCTGCAAGCGAGAGAGTAAGATCTGAACTGTAACGTTTTCAGGGATAAGAGGTCACAAAAAAGAAATTTTAAGAAACGAACACAATTTTTTTTTTTTCACCGTTTGCCTTTATTTTAAAATCGAACAAAAAAAGAGGAAGGGGCAGTCAAAATGCGACATTTTGTGGTAGAAATGAAATCACCATAATGGTCGGATTAAGGCAAATTAACGTAACTTGCGGCTCTCTTAAAAATTCTGTTAAATGGGTGTTGCTTATAATTACGGTGACCATATTTGTGGCAGCCGAATACGGGACATAAAATAATTTTCCCAAATTGTTCCACTATACCTTTTCCAATGATCCTAGATTCATTAGTCCTGAAACAGCGTCTTTATTTGGCATATATTTTTCTAACTTTTGTGAGAGCAGAACATACACACATACATATGTAAATATTCAGTTGTAACATCACGCAACTTTGTGCTCGGGCTTTTTCCCCGCAAAATTTGTTACAAACATTCCTTGGCAGGGAAACATGATGAAAATATCCGACTACTTTTGAAGTAGAAGCTGTTTTCAAACGGTTATCTTCAGACTCAGATTTCGATCAAGCACAACGCTGTGCATAGCATCCGAAAGGAGCTGAACTGCAAAGCGTACCTTTGGAAGGATCAACTTCCCTTCGATCTTAAAGAACTTCTCTACTTTTACAACATTTTCCTGGAAGCCTTCTTATTTAGAGTTTCTCATGTTGAAGACATGACAATCCTTCATAAAATCAGAACTAATTGTTTTGGCCTAGTTTCGCCTAATGAGTTCTTCTCTCCACAAAATTTGGAAATTGCCATACTCCACAGCACATTGGACAGGTGATAGCACCAGAGCAAAAAACAGCAAGCTGTGTATATTTTGTTGTTGGTTTTAGAATCCATATACGTAAACAAAGTTTGAAATTTTAGAGTAAACTGTAAACAAAAATGCCAATTTAAAGACGAATTTCTCGAAGAAAGTTAAATCAACAGAAGGAAAATGAAATGCTGCTAGTGAAATTTCTTTTAGAAGTGTGAACAATAATCATTATCGTCCAATTTCTATTCAAACTCACAAATTTCCAGTTTTTCTACGCAAAATTATAACTTCTGAAACCATCTCCAAACTAAGATTAAAAAAAATTTTATTGAAAAGTACAAAAAACTACAAAAAAAATTAATAAAAATACAAAAACTAAACGTAAAAAAAACAAGTTATTCAAAAGTACAAAAATTAAGATTAAAAAATCTTAAAAACTTAAGAATACAAAAAATTTGAATCCACCATTTAGAATTTTCAATGTCTGAAAGCATATTCGTATTCAGCGATCCTACACTCAGAGAAGGAATCAAGTTTTTCGTACTCGGTCTTAGTATTTCCGAACTTAAAATTGGAATAATATTGAAAGTACTAAAATAGAGGACACAAATTTTATATTAAGTACGATATTTTTGAGTACCAAATACTTGAATTAAGATCATGTAAACTAAAAAAATTAAGTATATATCATTCATTTTTTCACGCGTCTTTTTGTGAAAATATTGTTCATATACATACATCTAACATTCTAAGTCGAAGTATGAAAGGTTGTGATAACCCAACATTTTTCTTTATAATGTTACTTAAAATAAAATACTCGTACTCATAGTAAAGAAATATCTTGTTTGATTTTAGTACGAAATTCTTATTTCAATATTGAAATATTTAGATTCCATATATGTACTTAAATCGCGTTAGTTTGTTCTTATCTTGCGGCCAAAATTTTTGACAGTATTGAAGTATGTATATGAGCGTTATGTTATTTTCGCGACATTTATATTGGATATCGAAGATAATTTTCATACGTTCGCCACAGTGTTTATTGGGTCATTTTTTAAGATTTTTCAATGTATGTAATTTTTTATATGATTTTTTTACTTAAAAAAGTTTTTAACATGTCAATACCTTTTGGTTACCGCGATACTTACTCAGTACTTGTCAAAAAGTTAAATTTCTACTCAGTACTCATGAAAAGTATCGATATTCTGTATTCGGTACTCTTATCACTCTATGAAGAAACGTTGTCTTTAAAAGTACCCTCTTGTGTCAAGGAATCGATTTCCTGCAAAACAAGAAAGAACTAAAATGTACTTTTTCAAAGTTCATAAGTAGCTCGGCCAAATTCATAGAAAAATGTATAAGCGTCAAATATTTCTTTATTTTACTATTATTGATAAAATCGGTATTTGAAATTCTCCTCCGGTCAAAAGGCTTTTCCATGCATTCAAAGTAGAAATTTGAAAACATATTTCTTAAGTATAAAATGAAGTAACACTTTAAATTAGCCCCACTTTATGGAGGAATTTTCACAAAAACTTTGATTGCTCTGCACCGCGGATAATTAAGCTATGCCAGACGTTCAGACAGATTAATTAAATTATGTTAACAAATTTTCAAGCACCACATTAATCATTTTTATAAAGGATGAGGACTAACAATACAAAAGTAAAGAATTAACGTGCAATTAACAGAATTTAGAACAGAAGTTTTACTGGAGTTGTTAAAATAAAGGTATGAAATTTTGAGTAAAAGAAATTGCTTAGTATTTATGCCAGAGAACGTAGATAGATAGAGCAGAGAACTTTCATATATATGTACACATGTAAATTTTTTGCAAAGCTATCCTTTTTTAAATTTGTATTTGCATCTTCATAAAAAGAGAACAGGTTAAAAAATTTAACAAAAATTACCAATTAATCAAAATTCTATGAAGATTTGCCATATTATTTCTCTGTCTATATATCTAAGTTCTCTACCCTAATGATGTCGCCACCATTGTATGAATATACAAGCTCTCAACCTATTAACACTGCTTCTACACAAGTTTAGCAAACACTGTTGGCTGAAAGCTGTTCCGACATGCGCCTAAACTCATGCCACCGAACCAAATAACCTTTTGTGCTTACTAGGGATTTATAAAGGGAACATAAATTAGGATGAAATATAGGGGGACCAAAGATAGCCAACAAAAACTCCAATATATTGATGCAAATTTTCTAAACATGCAAAAATAGGAAGCCTGCAATTTACATACATACATATACACATATAATTCTTATGCTTTTTCAATTCACTCACCTTAAAACTTTCACAAATTAGATGAAGATTGCACAACTACACTTCAACTTAATAAAAAAAAAGCACTTGTTCGAGCCGGCCCGAGCCACTCGCGCACCCGATCGAAACTACATATGTATATCGCCCCGAAAACTAAAAAAAAAACACTGCTCGCGCATATATTTATGTAATTTGCTCATTAAAACACTTAGCTTTCCTTATTTCACAGAAAACTAAAACTTTTCACTTCATTAAACGCAAACTTGAGCATTTTCAGAACTTTTTAACACACACTCGACGGAAGCAAACGCGGTACTGTTGAAATAGCGTCGGAAATTGAGTGAAGCGCAGAGGTGTATTTACACAGTGAAATATGTGGCTAATAAGGTGTTCACACCCTGGTGTAGATTGATTAGGTTAAATATTAGGATTTGCCAAGCGGTAGTATATTTTAACAAAA